TATATATATATATAAATTTTTGTTATATTGTATAAATAAATAGGTCGACCTATAACCTAACAAACTTTTTTATAAGCCTAAGTCTGACTCTTTTATATAAATAGGCTTTTTTCAAAGCTAAAACTTGACTTTTTTATTTATTAAAAGGTCAGGCTTTAAAGAGGTTAGACCATAGACCCCTATTTAAGGCATGACATATTATCATCTCTACTTGAAGACCATATAACCTTCGATAAGGTCTAGGATTAAGAGGCTAAAAGAAGCTACTAGAGAGGATATGCTTCTTAGACCTATGGTTATCATGAGCATAAAGTATGTGCTCTCTTCCTAGTTGTCTATTCTTCTATTGTATATACTTGTAGACACCAGATTTCATCTAGGTCACCCTTACTAAGGTCAGAAGATCACTAGGATGACATTAGTAGCCCTCGAGGGCCCAATAGATTTCCTAAACGGATCAGGATAGCACTAGAAGGCCTAAGAACCTCGAAACCCTAGTTTCAAACTCGGAATGACCATTCTCGAACCTAGAATGGTCATTCCCAATTGAAAAAATGGCCTATAACCCTAGTTGGGAACATGTCATTCCAAAGGCTCATTTCATGTGTAGATTCATGGGACAGAATGATTATTCCAAGCTTAGGAATGGCAGTTCCATGCCCTCAGAAGCTTAGTTAACCATTTTTGAGGCACGTGCTTCCACACATATTGCTCAGTTGACCTAGTCCAAGCATAAACTCTCTCTTCTCTCTCTCTAGTCTTTCTTGAGTGATTGTTATATTCCTGTAGAGCGAAAGGCTTCCAAAACGCGCCTTTGTAACAAGATTTGAGATTATTCTCTTCTATAAAGCTTGCTCCGGAGGTATTTTCATCAAAGTATCTTTCTTTCTCTCTTTGTATTTATATAAATATTTTGTTCCTAATATTATTGCCATCATGTAGACATTAAGCATGTAAGTAATTAATAAAAGGGGTAAATGTTTAAATTATTGTTCCTTGTTATGCTAAAATCGTCATAGGATACCATGATAGGGCGTTGTAAGCTCTGCCTAATACCTTCCCTACGTGTAATCGACCCCAAACCTAATTCTGGCTATGAAAGCAACAATTAATATTAAAAAAAAAACCTTTTCCCTTTTTTGATGTTTAAAGTAAAATATCGGTTACAACTCCTAAGAACTTTTTTCAAAAAATCATTGGTAAAGGATTAGTTTGGTCCTCGGGCATTCCTAAACCGATGAGATTTTCAAATGGAAGTCAAAACTATATGTGCAACTCCATTTGGGAAGCTTAAAGATGCCTGTATTAAAAGCGGAACGGCCCGTTCCGGAACCTTCAAGTATACACAAAATTTTCCACTGGAACGGCCCGTTCCAACTAAAATATTTTAAGAATTTTTCTTATTCCAAAACGGCCCGTTTCACTTTGGGAACGGCCCGTTCTAGAACAACCCAAATAGGCAAATTTTCTACTTTGGAATGGCCCGTTCTGTTACTTAAAAATGGGTTCATTTTCATCATTTGGAACGGCCCGTTCCACTTTTGGAACGACCCGTTCTGGGCAATCAAACATAGGTATATTTAGTCATTTGGAACGGCCCGTTCCGGGCTACTGATCCACCCTAATTGGGCCCTTGGCCCAGTGAAAATTGGGCTGTTACACTTTCTCAACTGTGAAACATGAAACACATCGTGTAGGTTGGAAAGAACTGGAGATAACGCTAAATGATAAGCTAATGGACCTAGGTACACGACAAAGGATCTGGTAAGGAACAATGAACCTCGGTGTGAGTTTCTTAGCCCTTACGGCCCTTCCCACTCCAGTAATGGGTGTACCTTGAGAAATACGTGCTCTCCTTCCTCAAACTCTAGAGGTCTCCTCCTTTTATCTACATAGGACTTTTGTCGGCTCTGGGTATCTTTCAACCTCTCTTGAATTTGTCTCACCATCTTAGTAGTTTGAAGAACTAACTCTGGAACAACCACTACTAACTCACCCTCCTGATACCAACACAATGGAGTCCTACACCTCCTGCCATACAAAGCCTCAAAAGGTGCCCTGCCAATACTCGAATGATAACTATTGTTGTAGGTAAACTCCACTAATGGTAACACCTCCTCCTAGCTACCCTGATGATCCAACACACAAGCTCTCAGGAGATCCTCCAATGATTGAATTATCCTCTCTGACTGACCATCTGTCTATGGATGATAAGAGGAGCTCAACCTCAACGTCGTCCCCAAAGCCTGATGTAGAGTTTGCCAAAACCTAGAAGTAAACCTCGAATCTCTGTTAGAAATAATACTGGAAGGCACACCATGCAACCGTACTATCTCTCTAATATACAACTGTGCAAGCCTTTCCAAGGTCCACCTCTTGTTGACTAGAAGAAAGTGCACACACTTTGTCAACCTATCAACAATCACCTAGATAGCGTCACTATTCCTAGCTGTCCTAGGCAACACAACTACAAAGTCTATAGTGACATTATCCCACTTCCACTCAGGAATCTCCATCAACTTCATAACCCCTTCAGGCCTCTGATGCTCAATCTTCGCTTTCTGACAAGTTAGACAAGCGACCACAAACTCTATTATCTCCCTCTTCATACCAGGCCACTAGAATCTTTTCTTAATGTCATGATACATCTTAGTCACATCGAGATGTATGCTAAGACGACTCGTGTCCCTCCTCCAAAAAAGTTCTCTTCAACTCTGAATCCTGAAAAATACGACCTTTGAATCTTAGAATCCCATCAACACCAAGCTCAAAACCAGCTGTCATCTCGGTACCAAGCAAGCCCAAAATCCTCAACAACTTGGGATCTTGTAATTGCTTAGTTCTCACCTGTCTCAAGAACTCATTAGTTATAGTAATCATATCATAAATAATGAGATCCTAAACAACCTCCACCTCTAGTCTCAAATCTCTAAACTGCTCAATCAGTTCTAACTCCCTGATCATCATAGCTGACATGTGAATGGATTTCCTACTCAGTGCATCTACTACCATATTCACCTTCCCAAGATGATACATCAATTGAAAATCAAAATCCTTCAGAAAATCCATCCACCTTCTCTGCCTCATATTCAACTCTTTCTGATCAAACAGATACTTCAAGCTCTTATGGTCATTGAACACCATACAGATAATGCCTCCATGACTTCAAGGAAAACACCACAGCTACAAGCTCCAAATCATGAGTGTGATAGTTCCTTTCATGGTTCTTAAGTTTCCTTGAAGCGTATGTCACTACTCTCCCTCCCTGCATCAACACATAGCCCAACCCCTAGTGAGAAGCATCACAGAACACATCAAAGTGCTCACCAGTTTTAGGTAACACCAAGACTGGAGAAGTAGTTAACCGCCTCTTTAACTCTTGAAAACTCTGCTCACAAGTGTCCGTCCAAACGAAAGGCTGATCCTTTTGGGTTAATTGGGTCAAAGGCATTACTATTTGGGAGAAACCCTCTATGATTCTCTGATAGTAACCCGCTAACCCAACAAAACTTCTAATCTCTGTAGTAGTCCTTGGACGCTCCTACTGAACTACAGTCTCCACCTTGGCCGGATCCACTACAATCCCTTCCACTGATATCACATGTCCCAAAAACTTTACCTCAGACAGCCAAAACTCGCACTTGGACAACTTGGCATACAGTTGCTTCTCCCTCAGCACCTCTAAAACCAACCTTAGATGCTCACGGTGATCCTCCAAGGATCTAGAATATACCAATATATCATCAATGAAGACCACCACAAATTTGTCAAAGAACTGTCTGAAAATCCCATTCATGTAATTCATGAACACTATCGGAACATTAGTGACACCAAAAGGCATCATTACATACTCATAGTGACCATACCTAGTCCTGAAAGCAGTCTTCGATATGTCACTCTCCTTCACCCTGATCTGGTGATATCCGGATCTCAAATTAATCTTTGAGAACACCAAAGATCTTCTCAGTTAATCCATCAAGTCATCTATCCTCGAGAGCGGATATTTGTTCTTGATGGTCAACTTGTTCAACTGTCTATAATATACAAAGAGCCTACTACTTCCATCTTTCTTCTTTACCAATAAAACAGGAGCACCCCATGGAGACACACTTGGTCTTATCATCTGTCTTTCTAACAACCCTTACAACTGCTTCTTCAACTCAACTAACTCAGCTGAGGCCATCTTGTAAGGAGCAACAAAAATGGGTCCTGCACCCAAAATCAAATCAATAGCAAACTCTATCTCTCTTACTGGTGGTAATCTAGGCACCTCTTCTGAGAGTTCCTACGAGAAATCTCTCACAACATCTATGGCATCAACAACCTGTCGAGACTCCAAACTCAGAGAAGAAAAGAGAAAGAAACACTCTGCCCCCTCTGATAACAACTCCTCTGCTTGCTTTTTAGATATTAACCCATCATCCATTTCATCAGCAAAAATAAGCTCCTTCCGAGCACAATCAATCAAAACTCGATTAGCTAACAGCCAATCCATACCTAGAATCACATCAAGGCCCACCAATGGCAAACAAATGAGATTCACCCGGTATCTCTGCCCAAACAGCTCAATTGGGCATCTCAAACAACACTCTGATGTCGTCACAAAATTCAACATCGGAGTAGACACAACTAGACAAACATCTAACTCATCCACAACTAATCTCAACCTATGAATGCAGTCCAAAGAAATAAAGGAGTGTGTAGCACCCAAATCAAATAGGATAGAAACATGTATACCTGCAGCTCTACCCTTCCCCTTCACCAAGTCCGGTGAGGTGGAAGCCTCTGCTACTGTCAAAGAAAATACTTGCCCTACTGCTGTAGATCGCTCCACCCTTTGAGCACCCCCAGACCAACCTGCCCCATCTGGGAAATCCTTGGCCAGATGGCTAAACTTGTTGCACCTGAAACACTTGGACTATGTAGTAGTGCAATCTTTGACAACATGAGGCCCACCACATCAATAACATCTAACAGTCTGAGTTCCACTCCTAGCTCCCTCAGCAGGCTTCCTTGTGGTAGAACCCCCTTGCTATTGGGGCCTGTCATAAGGCTTTCTCTAAGAATCACCACAGCTCTTGGACCCAGCTGGCCCACCAATAGTCTTTGTCAACTTGTCGACTCTTTCAAGACACTCTACAACCTTCGCCTTCTCTACCAAGGTTGGGAACTCTGTGATGGACATAGGCACCACCATTCTTCTGAAATCATGCTTCAAGCCCTCAGCAAACTTCCTACACTTCCAACCCTTAGAGATGGCCTGGGTGTAGAAGCGTACCAAGTTCTCGAATCTCATGGCGTGCTCGGTCACTGATAAACCAGCCTGGTGTAATCTCATAAACTCTGCCTCCCGAGTATGCCTGACACTCTTTAGGAAGTACTTCTCGAGGAATGCCCTCTTGAAGCACACCCAGTCCACAACCACTCCACAATCAATCAACATCTAACTAGTACCTCTCCACCAATACTCTGCCTCCCCTATCAATATATACACTGCATAGGCAAGCTTTCGCTCCTCTAAACAACCAGAAATGGAGAATATTTCCTCTAACTCGCAAATCCAGTGGTCAGCCACCTTTGGATCTGCATCACCTTTAAATTAAGGAGGACTACACTTCCTAAACTCAGCTAGATCACTGCAGCTCTCCCAGCATCCATCCTAGCAAAGTGAGTCTGTTGCTGCATCGCCATGGCCATCATTTTAATGGCCCTAGCTATCTGGTCATACTAAGGCCTCACCATACTACAAGAATTCAAACATTCTTTTAGTAACATTGTACCACCAGAAATCACCAAAACCAACACATATCAGAGATATGAACAGAAACCTAGAAGGATCACTCCCCACAAAGTATCCAAAATAGTTGACCGACTCTGATACCATAAAAGTGTAACGACCCGCCGTGGTCCCTACATGATGGAAGACCTCCGAGCATTGATGGAAGAAGGATGATCAATGAGATGAGTCCTAGACTCCACAGATATTAGTTCTTCAAAGGCCTAGCCTTGGATGATGGTGGTGACTAAAAATGGAGAAGGTGTTTAATGAAAGGCTTAAGAAGGAACTCTAGGGTTTGGCTCACTCCATGGATGATGAAGACCACTTCTACTGTTTCTCTCAAGGTGAAGATAGGTAAGGTTTGGCCAAATATTAGCCAAGAGTGACTAAGGAAAATATTAAGGCACAAGGCTCACTCAATATTATAAATTCCAAAGTATTTACAAGGAGGCTAGCCTAGGGTATTTATAAAAGGGATGATGCATTTAGGGTTACATTTGAGAGTGAATGGCCAAGTAATGTAATCCAAATGCACTTCAAATGAAACCTAAATTAACCCTAGATGCTACTTGGTGGCCAAGGATGGAATCTTTGGGTTTGGTTAAGCTACATCTAGGTGCATGATAAGACCATGCAACCTAGGTGCCCTCCACTTGGGCCTAAAGCCTTGCCAAGTCCAAAAATAAATCCAATGCCACCAAAAAACATGTCTAGGCCTAGTTTCCAACCTTAATAAAATACCCTATCTATAAAATAAAGTCCTATAATCTAAGACACCCCATAATACAAGGGTAAAAAGGGAAGTACAAGTAAAAAAATAAATCTTATGACTAATGTTAAGTCAAATGAAAACAAAGCACTTCCCAACAAGGTTTTGAATGAGACAAATATAATACATATTGTTGTTACTAACAAAAACTGTAGTAGTGTTTTAGATATGTATAAGAGCAGGAAAAGACAAAATATGAAGCAAGGTAAAGCAAAATAAGGGTCTGACTAAACAAACATATACATTAGACGACACAAGATGACAGACGAAAGCGTCACATAGACAAGACAAGAAGCATCAAACAGAAGTCAACAAGACTCAGACAAAAGCTGGTCAATACTTAGAAGAAAGTCAAGACTTGAGATGCACAAGGACTACCAAACGCAGACGAAGACTACCATGAAAGCATATGAAGAATCAAGTCTCAAAGGACAAATCAAGGCATCGTCTACAACCACACAAAAATAAGGACTCTAAATTGAATGCACGAAAAGAGAAGAAAGAAACGAGAAAATCAAGCGCAGAAGTAAAAGAATGCTTGTGTCAGAAAAAGTACATCACTTTTTCAGTTAAGGAAAACATTCTACAAGCTACGTGACCAGGAAAGGACAAAAAGGTTCCTAGGTCTCTACTATATTCAGACACAACTGCTAACGAAACAAAGAAAACTTCACGCAGGTTCTATCACAGGAAACAACATTTAATGCAAGAACTCAAGCATTAAATAAGCAGAATGAATTGATCATGCACGACTATGACTGCCTCAATGGACACCTGCAAAAGGAAGTTCTGATTCAACAGATATATTCAAAGATCAACCAACGGGCAGATTCTACAAGACTATATATATCACTACCTCAAACCTTGAAGGGTTGGCTTTTCGCATTGACAAAAAGTAATATCAAGCCCAAGCAAAAATCAAACTAGAGATAGATCTCTTAGCGTCAAATGTACCTTGATGTAATTATCACTGTAGACTAAGGTGTTCTAAGTGTAACTTAGGAACATGAACCTTAGTGAGTGTTGTAAACTTATGTATCCTCTCCATGAGAGTAAACCGAACACTCAATCGTTGTAAGACTAAGGTAACAAACCTTAAAGAGTGTAGAAAATTCCCAATCCTCTCTGTGAGAGTTATGTATGCACTCAAAAAAAAGCGAGAGCCTATCATGTGTAAAGCCTGAAGAGGCTAAGGAAAGAATACTTGTAAAGCCCAGAGGGGCTTGTCAAAGAATACTCACTGCTAGCCAAAAGTAGTTGATAAGAAACTACTAGCGCTGGCGAGCCAGGAGTGGTCGAGAATACTTGGGAAATCAAAAGTGGGTTAAGATTACTAGAGCTGGTGAGTGAAGCTAGCCAACTAGGAGTGGTTGAGAATACTCGTGACCAGGAGTAGCCGTGACCTAGGTGGTCTAGAATACTCGTGACCAGGAGTGGTCGTGACCTAGGTGGTCTATAATACTCAATACTAGCCTGAAGAGGCTGATAAGAAAATACTATCGTTGATGAGTGAAGTCAACAGGCCAGAAGTGGTCGATAATACTTATGTACTTAATTGCATATTTAGTGGAACCCTTCAATTGAAGGAGACTGGACGTAGCTCTATCTAAGCGAACCAGTATAAAATGATGTACACTTCTTGTCATATTTCTTTTAGACGCATATCTTCCTTACTTATTAAATCTTTGTGAAAAACTCTGTCCACCAATAACCTCTAAGTGAAATCATCTTTCAAACGCAGACGCAAACTTTGATTAACATATCTAGTATACTAAAGAGCTTTATCTACTGCTTATCTTTAAATGAAACTATCTTGAAAGGGAAAATGCAAGAACTTTAATCATTATTGTTATATGAAACATTTTCCTTCAGCAGACGATAAATCTTTCAGACGCAATGACTTTGTGTTAAGCAAATTCTACATAACCGTCTGGTATCTAAAAGTGCATTGGACGAAGAACATTATTCTTGTAAAAATGGTTTAAAATTCCTTCTTACACACACACACATATTCAACCCCCCTTCTATGTAATTCATGTCTAACTTCAATTGGTATCAGAGCTTGATCCCTTAGGTTAAGCATTTAACAATGTAGGGGTACATACCGATCCATAGAAGAACGAAGGACAAAGGAAAACTGAAGAGCAAAGGAGACGAACAACCGGTATAGGTAAACCTAGTATCAAACCATTCACTTCAATAATGCATGTTGCTTATGTTATAAGAACGGATTACATTTGTTAGGCTAAGATGTTATATGTCCATATCCAAATTTGTTTGAAACACAACAATACAATCAACGTAGTTAATCACTACATTTAAATATTCCTCAGAGTGCAGTAAGAAATTACTGCGTTTGAAAGATTTTTATAAGGAATCTAGGAAGTTGTCCCTGCGTTTGAACATTCTGTTCTCACGTAAAAAAAATAGTCTACCATACACCTAATAAATGATCGTCATCATCAAACGATGCGTCAGTCAAATCAGTCGTGACAATTATCTATTTCTTAAAAGATATTAATAAAAGGGATAAAATCTTTAAGTTAATGAGTAGCATGACCGTCACTCAGGGATCCTTTTGGAAAAGACGTTTCCCTTATCCAAAATTAAATGCAAGCCGCACGTTTCGCTGAATGAGGAAAACAAGGGGCGCCACGTCATAATAATAATAATTAAAACAAAAAATCTTCTGCATAAAAAAAATCTCTATAAAATCCCCCCACACTTAGTATCCTACTTCACACACTTGAACGTTCAAGACTCCTAAAGCCTTTCTAAATTCCAACACTCCATTCTCTTCCAAATGTCCATCATCCACTACAATGGATGCACAAGTGAAAAACACTGCACCAGTGATCATCAGTGCTGAAATGTGCGAAGTCATCAACTGTGCCTATACCTTTATCTCGAAGGTAAAGCTAGTAAGGTATCTGAAGCATCACTTCAACATAAGCCAGATGAATGAATGGGGTAAAACCATTTACGAGGACTTGATCAACTGTGAAGTCCTTGAGTTTTTCAACATCAAGGAGTCACAAAGAAGATCACAACACGAGATGGGCGAAGAAGTGAAAACATGATTGTTCCAAAGTCAATGATGAAGAAGCAAAAGTGGAATGAGCATTGGCAAAGAAGCTGTGAAGATGGAGGGAGCCAAACAGTACGCGAAGGAGTACGATGAGCAGGAGAAGGAACTGATTAGGTTGAAGCGTGAGGGGCAAAGCCAAAATGACCAATTTAATCATCCGTCTACGTCATCTTTCATCTCCTCTACCAAGATTTCCTCCTTACCTCTTAAAACTTCAAGTCTCATTCACCTTTTCTACGCATTGGACCCCATAATAGTGGTCATTAGAATCAATGTATAAATACATATATAGTGTTGTCTACCTATTCTAAACTCCTTCCTTCCACATCTGAACCTGGAAAGCAATATGATATTATTGGACATACAACAAGTTCAGAACAGACCAAGACAGGAAGTTGAATCGTCTGTTCAAC